AAGACCTTGAGATGGCTGCAGGATTCATGCAGTGTTTTACTGCGCAGTCCATGTCAACTGACGCCCTGACAAACGTGCCGTGGGCAAAGGAGATCCGCCATCTGTCCGAGCTCGAGCACGACTCGCTGTGGGATCTGAGCTTGCCTACTGAGTATGTTCCTGGGACATCAAGGCCGGCGGTAGACGTCGTGCCCACCATCTATGTGGTGACTTCTGATTCAACTTTGGCTCTGATCACTGGAAAGGGTAAGACTTTGAAGAAGTACACCTTGAAGGAGGATCTGGAATTGCGAAAGTCAGACATGGTTCTCGAAATCGGTCATGACATGCTCTGGGGTAAGGATTTGCAACAGCTCTGCAAAGCAAATGTTTCCATGATCAAGGAGCTGATGGCGAAATATTCTTCTCATGGATCAGCCATCAGGGTTATTTCGGTAATCGTTTGGTCTGGGAATGAAATCTGTGGGGAATATGGTGTTGGACCCCTCCCCACGTGGGGGCAGAAGGATCCACAGGGCGACTGGAATGCCATCATGGACAGGGTCAAAGGCAACATCGTTTGGTGGAACAATCAGCTCAAGGAGTTGGGAGTGGATCAGGCCGCCCTAATCGGCGAGCCCGACCCGCTCACTTATGGATTGAGTCTCATCTTCACGACGTTTATCGATCGACTGAAGGAATGGTTCCACAAGGAGATTGCCAGTGACAACGATCGAATTCGGTGGATCAAGAATGACATGCTTCCACCGAGGCTTGAGCTCAGGGACTACTTTCACGCATTCGAGACCGAGCTCAACCGAAGTGAAATGATCGGATATGTCATGGCAACTCTCCACATGTTGCACATGACGGACATTTTGATCCCTCAGTACAACCTGTCTTTGTACAAGCGCAGGCGCCCTGCAGGTGAAGCTACAATGCGTGATGTCACGCCGAAGATGGAGCACCTCCCAGTCAGGTTTGTGCAGGTTCTCAATTCTCTCCGGGAGAAGGTGAACAAGCCTGCACCGAGCGTCTCGACCCCAGAAAGCCTCACAGCAGAGGAGTTGAGAGCTCGCCCGACTGATGCTGGTGTCGCCGAAGATGATGATGAAGAAGGCGACCCATTGGACGCTCTGGATCCCGATGAGCACGAGGGACCATCGGTTGGCAAGGCCAAGGCCAGCCACGCAGCTCCACCTGACCCCAAGGCGAAAGCTCCAGCGACACAGGAGGATTCAACTCAGGCCACCTCAACTGGTGAGCCCCTGCAGGAGAACGAGATCAAGGGTACCATCATTCCGAAACATGCACTTGGGCACCTTGACAAATATCGTATCACCTTGGATGAAAACATCAATGCAGAAGTAGTTGAACATTGTGTCGTTGATACCCATCCCTATGAATTGATTGTCAAAACCTGTTGGGAGATGGATGGGGCAAAGGAGCTGAGGTACCCAGATCGCATGGACCGACACAAGACCAAGGTCAATGCAGTGACGCGTGGACAGCCAGGTCAGGACACCTCTGGATTTGATGAAAACATGTGGCTTGACCTTGATGACTTCTTTCGAATGTTCAACCAAATGCTGCCAGCCAAATTGCCTCGAATGACTGTTGAAGAGCTCATTTCACTGCTCTACTGGGACAACAAGTGCCGCTTTGAGTTCCAGTGCGTTGCCGGGTACCAGAAGGCAACCCGTAAAGGGTTAGCCTACTGGCCCATCAGAATCCGAGCAGTGCAGGGGCACACGAAGCGCGCCATGGATGCCGCTTCGGCTGAGGACACGTTCAATGCTGTGGAAATCTATGCCCTGTCTGGAGCCACAGCGATCCAGAAAATGAACGCCAAAGGTAAAAAGATTACCACTCCTCAGATGTGCCCTGGCGTAGTTTATCACAGGACTACAAAAGGCAATTGGAAGGGCATCATTGAGAATGGCTTCGTTCCTGGAGGAGGAGATCGAAATTCATCAGGCAGAGCACACTCCTATTTTAGCGAAGTGCGTGTCGATGAGAAAGAGTATGTGAGTGGTTTGCGTGCTGAAAGACCCATTGAAATCAGGGTAGCAATGGCTGAAGCTGTCAAAGCTGGCATTGTGTTTTTCAGGACGGCTTCCGACGGCATCTTGACAAGCGACGTCGTACCGCCTCAATACATTATCTCTGTCGATGACACTGCCAAGAAGGTGAATGTGTATCGCCGCCATCAGGAGGTTGCTCAGTCTGCAGCGAGCAGTGGGGGAGAAGTTGGAGTCCAGCAGCTTGTCGAGACCTTTGAGGCCAAGGCATCAAAACGGACTGGTTCCACATCTCCGGCCGCCTCAACTGGCGCGCCCACTGCAACAGCATTTTTCCCAGGGAAGGTGAAGCCTCCGCCACCAAATGTGGCCCAACTTGCCGGTATGCCTGGGTATGCAAGCAGCAGATTGTTGCCCCCTCCTCCGAAGGGCGAAGCTCCAAAGCCTCCTGCAGCAAAGGTTGAAGGCCCAAAGACACCGCCAAAGACGCCTCCAAAACAATCACCGAAGGAAGGGACTTCTGCACCTCATGCACCAGAAGTTCCAAAAGCTGTGACCTCAGAAGTTGATGCAGCAGCAAAGGATGAACCTGCAAAGAAGAAGGCAGCCCTGACAAGCGTGCCCGCAGCTGTGCCTGCGGCATCATCAGCTGCGGCCTTCTTGGAGCCTGCCCCAAAAGTTGCACCACCAAAGGCAGTGCAGAAAGATCCAAAAGCTCCAGTTGCAGAGTCACCCAAAAAGACGCCAGCATCAACATCAAAGTCACTGGTGCCAAAGCAGAAGTCTCGCCCTAAAGGCGATGACCAACCTTCGAAGAAAGAGGTGAAGAAGGAGGACAAGAAGCCGGTGCCGGTCAAGATTGAAGTCACGCAATGTTCAAGATGTTTTGCACAGACTTTCAAGGGACAGATTGAATGCGATGTGTGTGGATTGATGCTCGAAGGGGTGAACAAGGCCGACCGAACCAAGATTGCAGAACGAAGGAAGGCCGCCCTTCACAAGCTGGGCTTGTACTATGATTTTCGTGGCGAGTACCTGCAGAGCATCACACATGCTCAGCTTGAATCTTTGGGCTTGTTGGACGACCAGGCAAGGGGAAGCTCAAGTCCGGAGGCCAGTTTGTTGGCGAGGGCGAAGAGTCGTTTCGACCGTGCCTTGAGCTTAGGCTATGTGTCTGTGGCTGACAGGTTTGCCCAGGACGCCACATTCGCAGAGAGCGTGCTGAACGAGGGGGAGAACGAGTACGATTGTGAAAGGTACGACCTCCTCAAGTCTGCACATTTGCCAAAGCCGGGTCGCACCAAAGCTCAGGTCAAGATGGGTGTTTCTGAGCAATCTCAGCTGGAGCACAATGCAATGAGGCTGGTTTACTTGGATTTGGCAAGCCATCATGATGTCCCGAAATCATTCAGGTACATTGACCAACCATGGTTCTACATGTACCGTACCGAAATCTACTCCGAGGAAGAGTACATTGACTACCTCGACAGGAACCCTGGACACAATCTTTTGCTGTCTTGTACGGGTGTTGACAACATTGCCGTTCATGATGCTGAACGCCATTTGAGGTGGATCAAGGGACAAAATGAGGAGCTGTACAAGCAGAATGCTGCAGAGAAGAAGAAGCAGTCTGACAGGGCCCGCGAGCAGAACGAGGCCAAGCGCAAAGCTGAGCAGACTGGAGCGTATGGCCAAGGTCCCTCCAAGAAAGGCACCGCCAAACCGGTTGCCCGACCATCCACCGTAGAGGTAGCCTCATCATCCACGTCAGCAAGTCAGTGGCTCAATCGCCCTCAGCAAAGTCATTCCCGTGAAGATCGACAGTTCACCAATGAGTGGCAGAAGTGGCATGGGCGCTGGTACCAAAAGGTTATCAGGCATGGCCGAGTCGAATGGGAAGAGGGATAAATTTTGACACTGCTTGCGTTGACGATCGTTTGTATATAGCCGCTGCACTTTTGTATGTTTTCCTCAGGTCTGCAAAGAGCTGGCTCGGTAAGGCAGGTGTAAAAGCCTCGCCCTGGTAAATGGGCAGCCTTGCCGTGTCCGGCTCACCTGAGGGGGGTGTATTTGCATCCCACATAAAACATAGGTGTATCATAGCATGCTGACTAGCTGTGCGGCTCAGGATAAAAAGTAGCTTGAGTCGCGTGCTTAACGGTTTCATTCCCCTGTTTTAGGTTTATCAGTCTATTTGGGTGTAATAGGAATTACCCCTGCTGAAACCTGAAAATACATAAATTAGCCAACCCAACCAACCGCGTTTTTCTTTTTGCATGCTTTTAAGGATTGGGCACAGGTCGGTGCAACTTCAGTTCATCCATTGTAGAGGTCTTAAGATTTTGTGGATGATTGCAGATCCTAGTGGGTGTTTGTTGATCATTTTTCACCAACGTGTCATATGTGAGGGTCCGCAGAGCCAAGTCAGCAGCAGCAAAGTACGCGACACGTTTTTTTGTTGTATCTACATCGACAATGTAGCTGATTTGTTCATAGTGAATACATATGTTCACATTATTGGACCCTCATTGGGATCCCAATTTACTTTTGTTGATCTTCAAACAACACAGTTTTCTCTTTGCTGTTGATACAAAAGTATAAATGTATCATATGGTCGGCTCAATGTAAGTATGCATGCCGATGCATACATGCAGACGTACAACCCTTCATTACACTATATTGCCTCACATTACGCATCCATACATATCCTAACATTACCCCGCACTACCTTTATGTAATATATGCAGTATATGTTTCCCTCGGTTTAAGAGTAGCTATACTTACGTCGCGACCTATACACGAATACAGTGTCAGCAGTTCATGTTGAGTCATTCTAGTTTTGATTTTGATTGCATACAATTACATACAATATCATTGATCATACAATTACATACATACAATTACAATACATGTATAGAAACATACATGCATGCATCCATCCATCCATTCATACATGCCTGTAGCTTACCTTACCGTAGCTTGCCTTAGCCCAACGCCCAGGACCGCGCCAAGTCCCTCTTGGGACGTTTACGATGCCAGGACACGGGCAGCCGAGTCTTGCTGTGGCAAGTGCAGGAAACCGCGGCCGGGCAACGGCATGGGAAAACATGGGAAGACCTACTGAAGTATCAAACAAAATGGAAACGATTTAACCATCATTCATGGGAGATTGTTGGGATATGATTGGGGTATTGGGATCTACAACCAACAATATTGAACATAGGGCACCGTGCAGTTTAGTGAGGCATCATCAGAGTCCTTGAAATGTCCATTTTGGGGGGTATACCCATTCTGAGACACTCATGTGAATGAAGGACTGCTATAAACCACTGCAACATGCAGGGTATGAAGTTCCAATATTGGGGCAAGGTGATAAACTGTTTGTCCGTTTTTTATTGTACGTCTTCAGGCTTGAACGGGATGCTTCGCAATTTGGGGCGCCAAATGGCAATTGCCCCTCCATAATCTCGAATATCACTATTCATAGAGGATGTTCCCGGCTAAAAACCTCCATTTATAGTAGATTACCATTGCCATGTTTGATTGCCAGAGGGTATTCAAAGATGCTTTAGACTTAAGACCTGCCAGCCACATAAAGATGGGTGGACAATCCACATATGAAGATCCGCATGATACGCAAGATGCACGCAACCATTGAACGTGGCTGTTTGTAGCCAGGCCTAGAATCCACAATGATGAACTAAGTTCAATGGGTTCTGCATAGCAACACTTTCGTGCTTTATTATTTCATTTAGTCAACATCCCACATCGCAAATAAATTGTTTTTGTTGTTTATTGTTTTCAACATGTATGAACATTATAAACACATTTTGGTTTTGTTTGGTAAATGTCCCACATCACAATTATTTTCTGTTTTGGCCGTTTCATAAAGCTGTTTCAATCAATAGCGCACGCCTTCACCGAAACCTATGCCATTATGCAAACAAGATGTGGTCCGATGCAGTCCATCTCTGGTGAGTTGAACATGAACAAACTCAGCGAGGTATTTGTCCCAGACTCACCTGGTTTGCTGGAAAATTAATCATCTATAGTTGATTTTTTCAGCTATATAGGCTATATACCTCTATTTTGTTTGGTGATTTTCAATTGTCATGTTTCATTCCCGGAGGATGGAAGAAAAGAGTTCCGGCTGATTGGGACAGCTATGGATGATTTTGGATCATTGCAATGTGAGGCCCCCAAGATAGCTAAGTTGGTTTATAACTCCAATAACTATGGTTTATGGTACTTATAACTCTAGTTACTGGGGCTTTTGTTAACCAACTAACATCACTGCGGGGCCTCACATTGTGGAACCTGATGTTTCCCGCAATTTTTCCGACCCGTCAGGATCACTGGGACCCGCAAGGTTTGTCAGATCGCCGGGCCTGTTTAGCCATCATCCTGGCGGATGTTCGCCTGAGATTGTGGGGCAGCCGGGCATGACGATCAAAATGCTGGGAAACAAGTAAAATTGAGGAAACAAGTGCAAGATACAGCAATGATATAATTTTGATTGCCATTTACAGCCCTTTGTAACCACTGAATTGTTTGGCTATGTTTTGCTAATGGTGATTTGGTGTGTGATAGTTTGAAAATCCCGAGGTATCAATGGCAAACATGCATATAGGCTGCAGGAAAGATGTTGGTCTTGATCATGGCCAGATATGTAATGAACAGAACACGGAAAATCTACAGCCCTGGGTGTATCTGGCAGTGATGGCCCATCCCTGACGGTTCTGAAATCCAAAAAATCCCATGGTTCATCATGATTTTTCCCTAAATTGCCATATACTGCTGGATTTAGAGACAAAACCAGATCTCTAGAAATAACATTCTAGGCTTAAAACCTGGTAAAACATGGTAAAACTAAACCCATCCTAGATGGTCAAGTCTTCCTCCTGTATTTCTACTTGTCCAAGAGGGTGTGTGGCGTAACTGGCCCAGGAAGCCCTGCTCTTAGATCGCGCGCTGGTCCTTCCTCGCTTCACGCTCTCAGCGCAACACAATCGTGGCGCCGGAGCAGTAGTGTCGGATTTGCAGAAGCACTTGGACAGCAATGGGCCCAAAATGCCTTGTGATATTCTATGATATTCTTGTACATTCTTGAACAAGAATCTTAATCCATTAGACCTGTCGTTGAGGTAGCGGCAAACCTCAATGATTGCCGTTGTCAGAAGATGCAGCTGTATCATGTCACATATAGCTGCATTGAAAACTACCAAAATGATCTATGCAATCTATGCCATTTTACGCCGTTTCGGTGGGACAATCATGCCTTTCTGGTTGGGAATTCACACCGTTTGATTTTTTGGTGGAGATTTTCAAGCTTGACACATGAAGTATGTTCGCCATGTTCTCCCGTTTCTCCTGTGGCACGGTCAGCCTGACAGGAAACCCTAGCCCACTCAGAACGTCACAATTTGCTGCCAAAAACAACACGTTTATCACATTTAAGATATCTAATATCTATTGATTCCATGATATCCCATCAATAATCCTGATTAGTAAGTCCCCATTTATATGGCTTACAACTTATAAGTATGGGAATATTTTTTCAGCCATGTTAATCCATATATTTAATCCATATCAATCCATACCAATCCATTATCCATTATCCATTGATAATTTATCATAACAGGATACCTGGGGTTTCCCCAGGTACATCTCCCTGGCCTCCATCCCCGTGCCCCTCCTGACGCGAACCGACGACGTTTCCGACGCCGACCTCGACGAGGCTGTGGAGGTCCTTGGGGCAGCGGATCCGCGGCGCTGGCGGCGCTGCCCCAAGCGGCTGATGGTCAGATGGGCTGCGGGTGACTTGGCGGTTGGGTTTGGGTGAAAAGCTTATCTGGTTGGTGGTTTGGAACATTTTTATTTTTCCATATATTTGGAATAGTAACCCCAACTGACTAATATTTTTCAGAGGGGTTCAAACCACCAACCAGTTATGGAAATTTATGGAAGTTGATGTTTTTTTTTGGGGGGGGCATGAAGACCAGAACCAACTGGGGTTCAACTTGATGGAATTTTGTGGAATATGGGTAAGAAATTGTCGGACATTTACCACCATGTACCAACCTTTTTTTTCTTGGTTTGAGACCTCCCCTGTTTTTTTTTGTTAAAGTCACAACAGCCCACAGATACGAACCACAGCTCCACCTGAGGCCGGGGCTTCTGGAAGTCCGAAGTCCATGCTTCGGTGCTGACGTTGGCGGCGGAGTTGCATGGCACTGGCATGGCATGACGCTCGGCAGAGCAGGGGAGATTCAGGGGACCTTTGAGTGTTGAGGTGCAGAAAGATGGTATATAACCATAGAATAAACCAAATAATATTTCAACATATTTAAAATTAAGTAAGTCATCACTACTTTAACTGTTTGTTCTTTTCATTTTTGTTGTTGCATATATGTATACATACCCAACAACCCTTATCTTTGGAACATTGATTTATTGTCAATCATAACTGCCCAGACTGACGGCAAAACATTGTGTGGTCAACTGCATGCTTCTGAGCTGAAGTAGAGCAGACTGACTTGTCCGATGCCGATGTTCTGAATTGCAGTTCTGTGCTCATCATGTCCTTACATGTGCCCTGAAATCATTGAGTTGGGCGATTGTTTTTTTAAACTCATGTCATCCTTAATATGTACCCTCTGGTTGTTCAACATAGCGTGGAAAATCACCATGCGTACTATATAATACTATATATATATATGATAGGTGAATCATATTTTTTATCATCTAGAAAAGGGCCATCTATACCATAGCTACGTAACATACAACCAAAGGGCACCATATCTAATCATCCCCAATAGAGCCTTATTTTATCTTTTAATTGAGTATACCCCAAAATAGGGGATGATGTTAAAACATGCCCTTTTATGGCTAGTTCAATAGGAAGGTTTATTATATAGGGCGTATACCACATTCAAGTATATCCAAGGGCCCACGCCCGAGCTCAGCAGGTACTTCTGGACTCTTCGGTCCGTCCTTTCTGGTCTCTTCCGTGGCTTCTGCAGCCATCGGACGCCTGGGCAGCTACGTAGCTTGGAGCCGAAGTTGGGCTCGGAAAGTCATGTGCAGATGCACTGAGGGGAACCTCTTTGTTTCTTAGAAGCCATTTGTTAGAACAGCGTTTATTAAGGATTATATAATGGACGCACACACACACACATGTATGTATGATATTTATACATATATATATATATATATGTATGTGCATGCACACTCATACATATCATATAGATGTTTTTTGCTATAGGAGATGGAACCCCGATCCGACAATGAGAGTCACCTGATCATTGATACCTTTTTGGGGAGTTGAGGCTTCTGAGTGTGCACAATTCCAAACATTGGCTGTGTTCGTTTCGGGGATGGCGTTTGCGTTGGCATTCAGCCAACCCTTTCAACAAATAGAGGTTTATGAGGGGTCACCTTTGCCATCGGCAGTTGAATTATCTATTCATCTTCAGTTGAATAATGTAGGATACACAAACTGGTTGGTGGTTTGGAACATGTTTTATTTGTACATATTCTGGGAATGTCATCATCCCAACTGACGAACTCATTTTTCAGAGGGTAGGATAACCACCAACCAGAGCCAGGTGGGCCTCCACGTGCGTCGCGGCGACAAGTTGCGGATGATGCCGGGCCTGGAAGAAGCGACGTCTCCGGAGAATGTCTTGAGTTTCCTGCGTCCTGGCGTCAGCAGACCCAAAGGATGGTGATGGGGGTGCTAATGTCAACCGTGGAGTAATAAACCCATGACTATTGGGGGAATACCCCCCTGATTAATAAACCATGGTTTATTAATCCGGGGTTGACATTATGAAATCTCTTGGTTTCTGGTTGCCAGACCGAAAGTGTGTATGGGGCAATGGATTCTACATTCCTCTGGTTGACACTGGGTCAATCTATACTTCTGGCACGCCTTCCCAGGCGCAAGGTGGCACCCGATCACTTGCGGAACGTTTATTTAGCAACAGATGAGGCAGACACCAGTGGCTACCACAAGGCTGGACCTTGGCTAATCGTGCTCATATCCCGGTGACACCCAGCCAACCAGCCAACCAGCTACCTCTCTATCCTCTGTTTTTGAGTATGGCACAGCCTCTCTTTATGTGTAAACATTGTGCAAAGTCAACTGGCATTTGGTGCGTCCATGGCCTCTAAACCAGAAAACATGGTGACGCAGCGGCTTGATACTGCTTGTTTTAAGACATGAATGAGTTTGTCGGGAAGTGATGGTTTTCTTGAGACAAGGACATGTAAAAGAATGCAAAACAAGATGATTGCCGTTTGCGCAGTCTAACCGTATTAATGTTGGCTGCCTAATAATACTGTAACCCCCCCTAAATTTTTGAAAATTGTCATTTTAGGGGGGGTCAGCATTCCAATAGTAAATTCCTGGAACCCTATTCTGGATACTATACCATGCCCTCTGGACAAGGTCAGAACATGAGTTTTTTGGCAATACTAAAAGTAAATTACTTTTAGTATTGGAGAAAAAACTTGAGTTGGGAAAAAAAAACACTATTGCCATGTTGGGTCCACTATTGGCCATGCTCTCTGGACAAGGTCAGAAAATGAGTTTTTTGGTAATATTAAACTTAAATTAAGCTAATTGACTTTTAGTATTGGAGATAAAACTGGAGTTGGGAAAAAAAGTTTCTACTATTGCCCAGATATCACTATTGGTTAGACAACATCAATTACCGAATCTGTTGGTCTCAAAATTGATGACAGGCAACATTAAAAAAACAACAATAATTCCTCCAATCAAGACAGGTACAGACTGACAGCAAAATCCTGCATCAGATGTTTCTTTTCGACATATTCTTCAAAATACCAAGCCATTTATTGCCTCAAAAAATGGCCAGGCCAAGTCTCTCTGCCAGGCCTTGAATTCTGCCGGCTTCGCTTGCCACGGCCGGCAGTGGTTGCAGTCACTGGTGACACCAGAGCAGGGTGAAGACCTGGCGCGCGACAACTTCCTGTGCTTTGCACCTCGGTACCGCCAGGGGCTGGCGATGCTCATCCCTGTCAAGATCCAACGGATGGAACTGATGAAACTAGTACTCCCCAATAAGGATCACTAAGGGACCCCAAGAAACAAATGGAAGGAAATGCTAAACCAGGCTTGTGAAGTGAGCTTTATGGTAGAGTGGAAGATGTGGAAGGGGTATTACATCGTGATGAGCAATGAGCACCATCACAATTTCATCGACAGGTTCAAGGTCAAGTCTGGAGCAATGCGGGGCTGGGATGAACAGATTGAGATGTGGATGATGAGCACATTCTGATTTTTCTCGTTCAAGAAAGCAATCCATGACCAGTGGGGAATCAGTACTGTCATTCTCAGCCCACCAACTTTGCCCTTCTATCTTCAGGCGGTTGAGATGAATATCGTCACTTGGCATTGATGGTGGATGTTCGTTGCCATTTGCCTCAGCGATTTGGTTGGAGACACTGCTCCTGTTGTCACTTGCTGCCAGGTTTCAGGTCAAGCGGAGCCGTATGTCACACGAAGCGTGAATCTTTTGAGAAAAAACGGGAACTCTTGAGACACATCCGGGCACTTTTGAAAAATGCCTGGGTCAGTCTAGACACTTTTCAGACCCGTTTTGACAAACATTTTGAGAATGTTTGAGAAATGTCTGGGTCAGCCATGGTCAGCCCACAAAGTTTTGATAGCTTTGTAACATTGCATTGAATAACTTTTGAGAAGTAAGATAAAGAGCACATTGTATCCAACAAAACTTCATTGATTTTGCCAACTATCTACGTGTTCCAAGCAAAAATGCTATAATCACTTGGCCAAGTGGCAAGTGGTTCCGACAACAAGACTACCAAATTTCATGAACAGTTCACGTTTCGTCCATGTCTTTTTTACTTTTTTTAAATCAACAATAACTGTTTGAACATCCCTAAATCTGCCAGAAAATCCTCGAGGTGGACGACGCCACCTTGTGCGTGCGAAGTTTCAACGATGCCATGCCTTGGTTCACGCGATGTGAGCGCGGCAGTGCCAAAGTCAGCACAGCCAGCCGCTGGGCGAGGATTTGTGTGAAGATCCTCATGCTGGTACATGTTGGTACATGTTGGCGCTGTACTTGCGTTATCTCGGGTTATAAGAGAAAGTCTTCATTAAATGGACATCTCATTATTGAAGCATCCAGTGGTAAACCAGATGCTCGCCAAAAAGAACTCATTGATCTTCCATGATCTTCCCAGCTTAAGGGATGAAGTTTGTACTTTGCTGATCCAAATTCTACCATCCTTATCTCGCATGCGAGGCTACCATCTGTTGGATCGCAGCATGCATGACTACATTTTGGGCAGCAGTTCCCTGGGAACCGTGTGTTCCCCCGAACCTTGCAGTCCCATTGACCTATGGAGGCCGTTGAAGCCTCTCCGCTTTTTCGGGCATTTTTGGACCCTAAAATGGAGATACAGTACCACATGTTTGGCCATATTTTGGGGAGATTCCCTGAAAGTTAGTATTACAGGGGCTATGTATGGTAGGTACCTCCAATTCTTTTGATGTGTTGAGGTTCGGGTATCTTCTATCAACCCCCATTTTGCTTAGGATATCAATGTGTGAACCCCAAAAAGCAATTCCTTTGGAAAAACACACCTTAAGTTGATGGACTTTGCAGGTGATCAACCCCCACGGCGGGGACCGGTTGCTGACCAGGATGGATGCGGATGCCTTATATGAAGCCATCATGTCCGGTGAGCTGCCTCGCTTGCCTTGTTCGCCACTGCCACTCAGCGGCCACAAGGTGTGGGGGCACCCCCAAATCATCTAAGTCATGGATGACCATGACTTGGTATCGAAAACCTATGGTGACTTGGAGATCCCCATTACTTTAAGAACCCCCTATTTTAGGAGCAGTCCAACTCCAACCAGACATTTTGAAGAGAACATAGGATTGACCTAGAATCAGCGGCAGAGCATCAAAAGATATATCAAAAAAAAGGTCAAGACCTGTACAACCACCAGTGCGTGCCACAGCCATATTATCAATCGACAAGCTTCAAACAGACTCATCATGAAATTTGAGTTCATGGGTCCGAGTTATGCTTCCAGAAGTATAATCAAACATCAACATCCCAACATTTTGAATCATTTTGACTGGGACAGTTTGCAGCCAATGCCTTTATCTCTGAGGGGTTATTTGTTCAAATTTTCACCAGGACTCGCCAGCATGGCCCCGGTGGTTGCTGGTTTTCCTTGTTTTGAACCATAGAAATGGGCTGATTGGTTGAGATGCCTTTGTTGTCAGGATTGAAACGTATTGAAACCACCAAGAAGCCTATCAGTTGGCCATAACATGAGGAAAAAGGAGAACACACATATTCCAGAGGTGGTCTCATGTGATACTCCATTATGTAACCTGGCAAGGGGAAACCATCCGTGCATCTATGATGAGTTTCCTATATTTTTTCCAGGTTTGTTGTTGAACCCCCGGGTAGCCATCCTTATTCAGTTGGATGTCTCAGGGCATTGTTGGAGGGCCGTTCCCCATTGAGACCGGGGCTGAGGATAACCATGGATAGTCCCATGGCCAAGTCTTTTGGGCCAAGGCTATCTGAAGCCAATGATTCTCCACCTACAATCCTGGCCTTTGAGAATCGTGGCCCTTCGCAGCTTGCATTGAATATCCATGGGGATATCATGAACAGAGGCTGCAGAGGCTCAGTGTCGCAGAGCCCCATTTTGGTATCAACCAACAAATGGGATGCACCCAGATGAGGGTCTTCTTGGAAATGGACGAAAATCCAAGGTGTTGCAATATCATGTGGACATGCGTGGTGAATAATCATTTCTATAAGATGAAACTACCATAAAAGGAGACAATAACAGATATACATACACATATCAGAGTATATCATATTGTTATTGTGCGAGTGCCATGGGCCATTTTACTTATTTGCCAACCAAATTATCATCCCATCCCATCCAACCAGCATCCAGGCACTGTTCCTTCACCTCCCAGTGGCCCATGCGCCTGTCGCCCGAAACGGCGGAGTTCGAGGCGGAGCTGGAGATCCTGGGGCCCCTGGGGCCCGTGACCAGTGCGGCAGGCCGGACCGGTGGGAAAAGCCTGGTGACTGGTGGGTTTAACGATGTTTAAATGGTCAAATGATGTTCTGGTTGGTGGTTTGGAACCATATATATTGGGAATTATAATTCCAACTGACTTTCATATTTTTCAAAGGGGTTGAAACCACCAACCAGTGTTAAATATGTTGATCTTCCGTGAAGAAAAAAACATATAGTGGTTTCAACTAAATGGTTTGAATTGGGCGTCCAATCTTAATCTCAATGTGTGATCTCATTTCATGCGAAATGCACAATGCCTTTCTTGATTCCCAGCGATATAGCTGAGATGCAATCAGCTGCAAACGGGATGATCATTCTCTATGATTCATTCTACAGGTTTCACAGCAGGTATGCAGTCACACATTTTGGCCAAAGATGAAATGGGGTTTGGAACAGGATCACTGGCAGTTTCCAATAGTGTCTACCTGGGATCCAAAGGCCCCCAGGATGAAGATACGGGGTTGCCGTCAAATGGTGTTCCTATAAAAATCCACATGTATCATCACTTATCAGATCATTAAACTGGTGTTATTTATCAAAACCCACCATTTTTAGATCATTTTAGGCCCCATTTTGAGAAGCTTGTAGCTATCTTGCTGCCATCAGGCGTGATGACTTGGACGACTTACTTTGGTCCACTGGCCTCCTTTGAAGATGAAGTTGGAGGCTTGCCACTTGGCGAAACATTGATGGTTTCGTGGAGGAGCATCCAGTTGTGTTAGATTTCTTTAAGCCAGAGGTTGAAGACTTTTTTTAGGGGGAGCCTGGAAAAAATTGGGAAAAATGATGAAACACTTGCAGATATCATCAAAACTCATCAAATCATACGGAATAGACGGTGATTCTACCAGGATGGGCGCAAGAAAAAGCCATGAGTCCCATGAATTCCTTGGTTCTCAGGGATGCCCATTTTTCGACATGGTAGGTGTATGGCAGCCAGGGTTGACCCAACTATTCAGAATGTTTGTGTGTTATTATTATTGGGTTATTGTATATGTATTATTGGGAATAACATTGAATATACATTGAATAGTGTATAGACCCAATATACATTGGTATTGACGGTATTGACAATAAAATAACCCAACTATTGTTGACAATTAGTGTTCATTATTGGCTTTGCCCCAACATAGTCATTAATGTGATTGATCACACTATTTACGTCTTTACCTAATATGATTGTTCACCCCAGATGCTCCATGTATGGCATAGTTACCTAGATTTAGATGATTATTGGGGTAAGTGTTGATAAATATATATATAAATATTCCATGCATCGAACATATGATAGATATGGGATAAAGATGGATAAAGTATGATAATTAAAACATTTTTCCCCATCAGTCCCCACCCGTGATTCTCCCAGGCTGCGGCGCTCCACGCTCTACGGCTTCGAAACTCTGTCGAAACGCGGCGATCCGCACCCCGCAGCGGAGATCCCTCGCGGCACCGGCGCGGTCTTCGTCTACGTGTCGCTGGGGCGGGTGATGCTGGTGGATCAGCATGGAACGATGGAAACTTGACATCCAAGGGGGTCAATGTAGTCATAAAGTATGGTAAACAGGGGTCACATATATACCCAACCCTTCGGCGTCGTAGTTAAACCATGACCTAGCACAACGACATGCTTTTACTCTGTTATAGGACATGTATAAAAGACTGTTATATAAAAATTAAACATACCTTTTTTTTGTGGATACCTTTGGACGCCACTGGACGCCCTATCAAAAAGCATGCCCATTAAGTGGGGAACCCATGGAATCCCATGGCCTTCAGCTGTTTCACTTTAAGGAGCTGAGAGCTGGGCATTATGGCGTGCCTTGGACCAGAGGGCAGGATGCTCGATCCATGTGGATGCGTTGTGTCCCAAAGTCTTGTGATGATTTGTTTGGCTGGAAACTTGGGAAATGGCAACTTGATGAAATTGCACCCTAGATGTTTTCCCTGCATCCCAAGAAGTATTGGTTCTTGACAACATCAACCTTTGGACAATGCCTTGGAAATTCCATGAATTTTCAGCCTCTTTGCTTCCTCAAGGTCACCAAAGCGCCAGTATCATTTCAGCTGGCTGATGCCACACGCATGGTAGCGATTCACTCCGATCCTGCGCCAGCAGTTTTGGGGGTGGCTTCCAAAGTTGTTTTTTGGTCCTGATCCGTAGATCCTTTCAGGTGTTTTTCTTTGGGCTTATTGGCCTCCCTTGAACGGGAGGCCCATCTCATCATGTATTTTCTGGTCATCAGGCAAGGTTCTAAGATTCTCTTTGAGATCACCCCAATCACCCAAATGGAGCAAGGGGTATTCTTATTTTCTCCTATGACAGTGCCATTCCCCAACAACAATTGAACCCTCAAGTCCCAAGCCCTCCCACCGGACTCTGTTTTCTTGGTGAGTTTTGGATCCCCATGGGTCACAATCTGCACCAGGAACCCTTCACACCCTTGCGCAGCTTCGGCGGCCCCATCGAAGCCAAAGGCCGGCTGCGTTACGTGGATGGCTGCTCAGATGCTGGGCATCGATGATCCACTGAAAAGTTCTCCGCCTTTGGTAACATGTGGGCAACAAGCGTTTCATTCATGGGATTGTATGGCTCAAGTTGCTGTTTTTTGGCTAAGCTTGGGGGATCTTTGGGAAATCATGGGTCATCAGAAGCTGGAGCTGGGCAGAAAAAAGCGGTGAGATCTCACTACATCGATCCCATGCAACCGGGCTTGTAATGATTTGCCGCTGAGACTGGTGCCAGTTGTTTTCGTTTAATACCTCAAACATTTAATATACAGGCAGCTAACAGTGAGACACATTTAAGTACTCCATGTCAGAAACCCGTAGAAACCTCCACGTGGCCACGTGGTCCTTGCGAACTGATCCCCATTGATCAACCACGCTTAACCCTCCTGAAGATGCCCAAGGACACCCTCCTGTTGCCACCTCCCAAGCTCGCGGACCCCTGCTTGAACCTGCTACACTTTCCACCTGGGATCCGACAAACCGCCCACACGCATCCCTCAGTGCGATGCACCCTGGTCAGGAAGAAAAACGTACGGAAGGATGAGAATACATGCTCATTTTTTTTGAGTAGATTTGTGAGGATATATACTGTACTTCAAAATGAGGTGTCAACACTTGGATAGATTTGCAGAGTTCATTTTTGTTGGTGTGAGTTGAGCATTTGGAGTGAAACTTTATTCCAGAAACCGTATTATTTCCTCCCCAAGCCTCCCCCTCATATCATAATAGTCAACCACTCTTGAATGATCCCAAAACTGCGAAGTCCTAAGACCTCATACAAGAATCAAATGTCCGGTTACTTGATGTTACTTGACTGTGTCTTTGATTTTTGGATGGGTCCACATGGTTAAACCTCATCATCTTTGACAGTTAAAAGATTAAAAGTTAAAAAGTATGTTCAATATCGTGAAACCATATTAAACCCATCATTTTTCCATGTTTTTGGTTGGGGGTGGGATTATCATGTCCTTACCCCCCCCTTCATCCCCCATCCCAGGTGGTTTGGTCGCCAGTGGTGAAGGCTACTGCCTGGACGGTGGCAGTCGTCAGCTCCAGCTGCAGCCGGGCACCGTGTGGGTCATCCCCAAGGGCGTCCAGCACTCGTTCCACACGACCTGGAAGGAGTTGAAGGTCATCGCCTACCATCCTGAAACTGATTGGGGTCCCATGGATGAGAATCTTGGTGTGACTTTCTTGGGAAGATTTCTAGGGGAGATTTATTTATCTTTCATTTTTTTGAAACAACGTGTTTTTTGTTGTTTACTGGGCCTCGGGCCAGAACAAAAGATCGCAACAGCACCATTCTCCCTGGATTTTTAGTTGCTTTCCCATCCCTATTACTTATAGTTTCAGCACTCGCAGGAACCATCCAATGCTGAACCGCACCCTGGTGGATGGCAGCAAGATCGACAACCGTCTGGCCGCACACATGCGCGCGGATGTGCTGCAAACGGAGCAGTCCTTCATCGAGAAGTGGCAACATCGGCAGATGGAAGGTGCGGTGAACGCTGCCGCGGGAGGGCTGTTTGGATGATCTGATCTTGCAAGAGGATTTAACCACTTACATACCACTTACGAATTTGAATTTCGCTGGCGCTACTATCAAGAGAGGGAAAATGGATCCAAAAGCACCAGCACTTCGTATAGTTTTCTTTGCAGCGATGCTTCCTTTTAGATATTCTGTTCAATGATGTCCAATCCAAGGTAGGTTTGATGGTCCCCAATCGCCTTATTAAATGCTTTGCCTCCCATCATCTACCATCCATGCAGATGCAATTAGGAAGTAGCAGTCATTGGCAGGCACGCAAAGCGCAAAGGGTTGTCTTGCGGCTCAAGAGTTGCCAAATCTTGGCCAGCTCGGTACTGATCCATGGTTTCTGCAGGCTTCAGTCATACAGTGTCTCTACAAAATGATGGTACTGCTGTGGCTTGCGGAGACAACGCTTTAGGACAATGCGACATCCCACCTATTGGATGGAAACAACTTGGGAGTCATGATCGATCTACCCAAATCTGGCCACAAATACTGCAATATTTCCCAACAAATTTCAATGTACCCATAGAATTCTATTGATTTGTTCAACGTGCTAAGGGGGGAAAAAAAACAGCAAGCAGATGTCAACATACTGACCCAAATACTGTCGGAAGCAGTCCGACAAATCCAAAATTTCAGGAAAACTATTGACCTGCAAGTAGAGGGTTTGCAGCCGGACATGGCCGTATTTGTAGAAAAAAACGTACCAGACACAAAAAATGTCCAAACCCGTACGGACAGAAAATTTGTCATTATGGTTTTCCAGGTTGACAATGATTGACACAATTTGACATATAGCATTTATAATTTTATATATCTCCGACAATTAATCTAGCTGCATATATGCGTACTGCCGCTATCTGCCGTAACGGGTAAAACAATAAGAAACCATCCCCCAGTCATCACCACTGAAATAGGCGCGGTATATATATATATATAAACCATTCCCAGTCATGGGTGGTTTATGACATTGTTTTCCCCACATTAGCTAGACACCCCACTATTATCCCATGATTATACCATGATTATCCTACTAATCCTCTCTCCCTATTACTAAAACACCCCCCCACCCCCCAAATGGTAAACACGGTCATCTATTTTGATTATTAGGTGGTATTTTGTATTAGGGTGCGTCTAATATTCCAATGAAAAACGTTAATAATGAACATAAAAACACTTGATTTCAAATTTGATTAATTCCTTTATTGAAATCTATATAAAATATTGCCCAAAACTGGATTTCGAAGCGTTCCCCAAATATTCCAATGAAATAAACATAAACAAAAATAAACATAAACTTGTGAGATGGGACCTTATTTTAAAAAAAACTCAAGGTGGAAATCTATTTTTATTAATAGGGGGTTGAACCCGTTGTTTCACCATCCTGTTCTCTTATTGATTCTCAATTACTACAATTAACCAAAAAAAGACGGAAGTGCCACACCAATCCTATTTTGTTTATTTGGGGAGTTTCACTAATAGGAAAAATGGATGATTATCCCTTATAACTATGTTTTACCAATTTTTACCCACGTTATTCCTTAACGTCAGCTCCCATTGATGTTTTGCGCCAGGCACTTTCGGCCTTGCCATTGTCCAGCCCCAGAGCCAGTTGGAGGTCTTGACGGTGGATGCTGGGTCGGCGTGCCAAGGGATCCCAAGGGATCCAAGGGTTGGCCACAGAATACGATGCTTAAGAAGCCCGTCCTTGGGTCCTTGGCCATGGGAATACCCTCTGGTATAACATAACTATGGAAATTCACCATTTTAATAGGGAAAGCAACTATAGATGGCCATGTTCAATTAATAGTTATGTTAAATTACCAGAGTGTATCTTATATCTTTGGGGAATATTCAAAGTCAATATAGAAAATACTAGAAACGAGATCATAAACATTTAATTCCCAGCTTTGGGCTTGAACATGGACCAAGTTATTGGTTGTTTTTGATGAGATCAACCCTCAATAGACCCCTATTATTTGGGGGTCACCTCTAAAAGAGTTCTTAAGACCCCATGATTCTTGGGTTTCCTGCATGGAGAAGTCCGCCATGTAGATCTACATATGGATGGATTTACCACATAAACCCATCATATTCCGCTGAAAGTGAAACTTTTCGGGGATCAACAAACCATCAAGATTCCTTGCAATCCATTTCTTGCTGCTTTTTGCCCACCCTACACTATGATGGACCCGAATCGGGTTTGGAAACCATCCTTGCCCCGCTTCAGCCACTTGCCACCACCCCAGCGGTTTGTTTACCGCGTTCGCCAAAGGCCTGGGAAATACCTGGTGAAGTACACCAGAAACGGCTCACCCGTCCTCTCCGTGCACCCGCTAGAAAAAAAAAATCACAGCGAGCCCTGCAGTTTGAAGTCTCAAGCCCCATGCTGGAGGGTTGGACATGGCTTTGGATTTGTTTCAATTTGCTAGGATTTCTTTTAAGCGTCACTTTTGGGTGGTAAATTTGTGCTAAAGCTCCTGTGCATATTGATGGACAGGAATTCCTCATACCAGACGCTTTCAACATATAAAGCCCTATCTACCTGCGGTTGTAACCCCAGTTCGCTGATAACCACAAACTAGTTGGATTTTGCCCATCAAACATTGGGGAATGTTGAGCCTCAAAAACATGGATTGAACCTGGCGTTTTTTTTTTTTTTAATGGGCCTTTGACCCTTGAAACTGATGATATACTTGTATTCATAACATGTTTTAACCCCAAAAGTTGGTAGGGGATGGTATTGGAGGTACCCTCCTGGTCAGGTGTGGCCCTTTGGCTCGAGTGCCAACGGATGTGGAGAAGGAGGCTCTGACCTGGTCCCTTGCATCACCTTAGGCATGTCGGGAAGGAGAGATAGGTTTCTGCCATGAGTTGCCTATTGAGAATGATCCTTTGTGTAGATGTACTGCTGCATACAATAGAATCATATATAATCACGTATGCTAAAAAAAATAATATGTGTATATTATATGTAATTATATATATATATTTTTTAATATATATATATACATATTATATTACATTATATATTATATTATTGATATTGGACATCATGAATCACTACGACACATTATGTTTTTGTTCTATGTCTACTCTGATTTAATTTGGTTGTATTGTTTGGAATTGTTCAGCTCCGGTCTCCACGTGCAAAGTAGCCGCTACACACATCCAAGGACATGGTGGTATCTGCAGACGAAAAGCCGAAGAGGCCCCTGGGAGGATCCAGTGCGAAGGGCCGGCTGAGGATATGTCTCGTTGTAATCACTAGAGTCCTACTACAATGGTATATTTATAGTATAATACATATACATATATATATATACACTTTTTAAATCTAGATATACTGATATATATATATATATATTCTATATGTAGATATGCATATATGTATAACAATTTGTTTTTGTTTGTATATATATATATATGTGTGTGCATGTATAGATGGATATATATATATATACACACTATATACATACATATGCTGGGAGTAACATCAGAGGTTATGGGATGATAATGGGAATGTTTATTATGTCATAGCTGTTATGGCCAAGCGTTGGTTTCATGTTACCTTCAGACTTCACCGAGTATGGAGCTTTTGCCACGTGTATGCCATGTGCTCAAATTCCAGGGGTGTTTGGATCCTCATTAGTCAGCCAATCAGAAGTGAAGCGCCGTTCGCAAGGAAATGGTAGCTACCACATTGCTGGTGAATCAACAACTGCAAGACCTATTGGTTTATAGCCCCCCGATGCGTGGTTCACCTTGTCTCATACTGCAGCTGGCAAAACGTCGCAGAAGATCCGCAACCGTTTGATAACACTGGTTGCCAGGTTACCACCTCCTCGATGCCCCCTCCTTTGCCGAGGAAAGCTGTGAATGCCTTGCTGAAAATTGCTGATGTGACTGGGTCTATTTTTTGGTCGGCTGGGGGTTAGAACTTGCTATCAACCAACCATTAGCTATCCGTGGCATGCTCCCCAAAATGGGTCAATCTTTTCCAACCAACTCCACATATAGCTGGGATATAGTGGGATATGCGCCAGGGTAGCTGGACCAAGCATTCCAAGCTGAGGAGTGCTGGATGCATGGCTTTGAAGTGGAGGACTTTCGACCAAATGCCAAGGTGCAATCGGTTGATTGCTTTATAGTAACGCAAAAAGGATTGGAGGTCATGTATGACTATACTTAAGTGAGATGTTACATTCCGATTTTCGTTGAGGGTTCCTAGCAACATATGGCAACCAAAAAAGATGCAGCAGTTGTGAAGTACCTACTACAATAGTGGTGACCTTAGCCGATTATCTATTTGAAAGCTACCATGCTTGGACTTTCTCACTTGTGGTGTTGTTTTTTGTGCATTGGCTGATCCACAAATCTACTAAAAAGGGGAGAGGAATAATGGCCTGGGATGCCGAACTGCCAACTTGAGAGGGAGAAAGCAAACCTAAGCAGCGCAAATGATGGCCACATTCCGAAACGTGACAAAACGTGTCAAAAAAAAATCCTGGCCCAGGGGACCACAGATGTTGGCCATTTCTGGGAGGATATGAAGAAATCATCCAACTGTATACTGAGGACATTAATAACATCCAAATAAAAAGATTCTGGCGGGGCCACCTGCTCCCCTTCAACTTTTGATTGAACTCTTTGGAGATAAAGCGATGGAGAGAGAATAAAAGAAGAGAAAATGATCATCCAGTTGTTTGTTCAGACCAATAAAGCCCAATAACATGAATGATTTTGTGTGGGATCAGACATGGAAAGATGATCCATTGGTATATTGACAAGTTGCCAGGTGCCGATCTTGATGCTGTGGAATCTGGGACAGCTCTGGTGCATATGGCTTGGGATTAAAAGATGTATAGGAACATCGGGGCCAGCGCGGCTTTTAGCAAAGCAGGGGGAACCCTGAGATCCACCGCGATGGAGCTAATTGGGCTGTCAGGCATCTGAAAATTTGGGCAGGGCCATTGAATCTGTGTCCGTGAGTTATGCGTATATACATGTGTATGTATATATATATGTATAAATTCATTCAGTAAATTTGTTGTTTCATCCAACATAGATAGATAAGATAAGATAAGATCAGATCAGATAAGAAAATATAAGATAAGATAGATAGCTAGATAGATAGAGATTATCCATGATGATCCTGCAACTGAGCTTACAAATCATCACAAATCAGTCGCCACCTTTTTTGTTTCTCGGTCGAGGAAGGATGGGCTTGACATCGACCTGAGCTGTGGCAACTTGCTTCCACTGCTGAACACCCGGCTCTTACGAAGTTTCGCGGCGTTCGGGAGCTGGGTGTTGGCAAAAAGTAGGTAGCGAAACATGATGAAACATGGTGAAACAGGGGATGGTAAATGTTTTGTTGGGGAGTTTTGGAATGTCACTCTTGAACTTGTAAGATCTGTTAAGTACATATTGTTTGGATATTATATCCGCAATAGTTGGGTGATTGATGTTCACTTGGGAGATTTGCCAACCTCTGTGAAACAAATGTTCCACCGATCATCTCTATACAAATACCTGATTGTTCATGATGTTTCTCCATGCTTCCCCATGTGTTCATGTGTGCGTGAAAGCGAACCTCTTCCAAGATCTTCCAAGCTTACCTTTAGCGAGCCGCGTGTGCGAGTCATTTTGGATTCAGAGCAGCTCCCCAAGCTTGGCTGATATCATATTTCATATCTGTCATACTAAAGTTGGGTTTGGCTATCACCTTTTGTGCAAATGATCATTGCTGTCAATAAAGCCTTACTAAAGGTGCTTCTCTGACAGATTCATATGTTGCTTCGGGCCGTTTTTGCTGTTAGAAACTCAATGAAAAACCAAATTTTCTCCAGTTTTCCACCTTTTTTTGCTATTTGCAACCCATTGTTCCCCCGTTCTTCGAAGCGAAGGTTACACGCTCCTGAACCCGCGGCTGTCGGTGGTTGCGGCCGCGGTGAAGCGCTGGGCCAAGGCACATGGCATTGCCAAGACCTTTGATGGAGCCTTGATGTGGAAATCTTCAGGCATCATCCAATATAGTGTATATATATATATGTATCTTTATATTTATTTTTTATATGTATGATATGTATGATATGTATGATATGGGGATGGGTCAAGCCATTAAAAACTCAGGGGACCACATGTTTTTCGTTTATTTTGAGTATTAACATGTGCTGTGTATAGAATTAATCATCACAATCAATGGTGGGGATTTCACGCGTAGCTGCTCATGGTTGATTAGTGGGATGGTTTATTTTTGGGTTTCACATTGATAACGACCGCGCTATTTTCAACAATCGCGATAAATGGAATTTCATCATCCAGCAGTATCTGAGGGTATCATCCGAGCAGTAAGATTGTTCACCTATGGGTGAACAAGAGAATATGATAGGGTACATTACTTAGATCATGGTGATCTAATCTAGCAATCTAGGAAACCCAATGCCATAAACCACCCCCAGGACTCACCATAACTCCGTGATAAAAATCATCGCCAAACGTTCGGCTTCAATAATTTGGTTAGTTTGTCACACTACAAACTTAGTTGATATGCTCCAATCTAATAGAGACTCCGCCGAAATGGGGGTTTGAATATGTTTGAATGTTATGTTGTGGGCTATATATATATATTTGATTGGGGGAATGATATGTTACCAAATTAGTTGGTGGACACACCATAGCATACAACTAATCTTAGACAGCCTGCACTTGCAAACGGCTTGTCGATGGGCCCGGGATTCGACTCTTCCCCTGAAAAGGTCTTGACAACTATCACGATCATCGTCACTTTTTGGTGAATCACCATGTCCTGGAAATAATCAAACATGGCAGTGTAACATCCAATAGCATCCACCATTTACAGATGATTTGCCCATTCAAGTATCCATTGACGATGGATTTTCCAGCCAGCCACGTCTGTTTTTCCCGGGCATGGGACCCATGGGATGCTGAGGCTTTATCTCATCCTATGCCTGGACCCTGATGGTACCTTGGCAGTGCAACAGCAGTGCGGATGAACATGTCACCCATATGAATCTGCTGGCTCAACCATGGTTTAAGATGGAATTGTCTGAAGTCTCGTGATATTTTCATACATGTGGCTGGTGGTTTCCGAAGTTTCTTTGCTTATTTCATCCTTGGGGTGATCTGATGTTCCCTTGACTTGACTGATATTGAACGTGATGAGTATGATGCCCCAGCTTGTGGAAAAGTGATATGGTTTCGTTTTCAGTTGCTTATATTGTGGGGCTACCAGCCCCAAAATTCTTTTCCAAAGGTTTCCGCAAAAAAACAGGTGGTCTACTACATGCAGATCAAGGACCAGCTTCCCTCTCTGCATCGGTTGATGGAATGGTCGCAAAAAGACTACCAGATTCTGAACGACTACGCCTGGAACTTTGTGTCTTTAGAAGATGCCAAGCAGGCCGCGCGGAATGGGAGCAGGAGATATGAGGGGGGAAGACCCTGGGAGGTGTCGATTTCATGGGCCAGCAAAGTAGGTTTTGGATCGACCTGTTCAACGAGTGCTTCACACTGTAGATGATATGTTTTGCGAGATTGTTTTGTTTCTTTACAGTGCCAGGGCCCTCATCCACCACCTCTTCTACAGTGTTTCATTGCACAATCGTTGATGCTGACTGTTTTTGGAAGGCACCACCCACAGCATTGTGAATGCGACTTGTGACCATTCTTATGCCTCATCCTTGCCGCCTCTCATTCTTTGCGCACACATATCATCCTATGTATAGCATTATATAATACTCATATATTTCCCATGACAGACTTTACCAATATTATGCATCTTGTTGGCAAATCTACCTATCCATGTTCCTAATATGGTTTGGGTAAACCATGATACACCTACCAGCAGCAGATTTGGCACTACCCCATTTAGCTCCACAGATGTGGCACATTAACTCCGCCCACATGAACTCCGCGGAGCTGCTACGGGGCTTTTTCAGTTTCTACGCCACGGACTTCGTTTGGGGTTCCGAAGCTCGGCGATGGATGAAGGGATGGATGAAGTGGAAAGAAGACTTCAGAACAGCCTGTTCTTGGCATTGAAATCATCAAATCTAGGGTGGTTCTGCATTGAATATTGATTTGCTTCCCCCTGAAACGGCCGCAAATGCATGATTAAGAACCATGCTGAAAACCGAATTGCGGCAGGTATGTCATGAGCTTACAAGCTTCAGTCGCAGAGACGCCTATATATAAGCCAACCATGATAACAATGCAGCATACAAGGATCATGGTCCACAAGGGTTTCAGCATCTTTCCTGCTTGATGTTGGAAATGATCCACATGAACTGTGAAGTCTGTCAGGCATCAGCGAGGGCCAACTTTGATAGTTCAGATGGCTATTTGTTCCTGAACTGCTGGTGGATTCCAAGTCCATATCAGTTGGTTTAATCTACAGAGAAGAAATTGATGTTCCCATACTTTTCCCCTTACCCTCAGAAAACCCTCGAGAAAAGTCTTGGAATGTGGATCTATCATGGTTTTCCTCTTTTTCTCCGGATCATCGTGGATATTTCCAGGATCCTTTTTACTTTTTACCATCCTTTGCATTTCCTGAGTCCCAAGCAGCTTCACCCTTTGCACTCCTTCAGGAGGTGGTTTCAGCTCCCTGCCTCAAGTCAGATGGGCAGATGTTGATTTCCTGGAATGTTTTCCAGCAGTGTTTCCTGCGGTGGTTTTATTGTTTATATGCCCATGAATATGCCTTTTTTAAATAACAGATTTGGATCTGTAGAAATTCAGAGGGTGATGCCGGATGTTAGTACTGGCACATTGCTCTCGGATGCTTTGCAACTACTCACCAGTGCTGCTTCATAGGCACTCCTATTTGGAAAATAAGAACCCGCTGTTGGCACAATCTGGGGGTTTCATCAAAGGGGTTGGCTTCACTTTTTAAACAAATGGTAATTTTGGATGATTTCCTAATTCATGAAGGTTTAATAAAATGGAGGTTTCCTAAAATGGCAACTTTCACTTTTTTAAAAACAATGCTACCCCCCATTTTTGGAAACCTCCATTAATCACCAACAAAGATATGGCACTGCTGCGAGAGGTCCGGCGAGGTGAACGGGAGATGCTCTCGAGCCGCGGGTGCTACCAGAACTTGCGGGGAAGGTGGGCTGAGCTGCTTCAGGGACCCAAAATCTGAGTTGAACTGACTTGGAACTGAGGAAGAACCACAAATCGAATGCTTAGCAGATGCTGATTTGTTATGATTTGTTTGATTATGCTATTGTGATCTTGAAGTATTCTTTTGAAACTCCACTAGCACTTCACCTGGAACTGTAAAACACCCCTGGCATGCTCAAGAAAATGCAAGGGCCCCAATTATTGGCACTTAATATCACCCAACATGATTGAACAGTAATTTCTAACTATAATTTTACGATGATTTTACGTTTCTATTTTTTTTAGGGGGTCTGCTATGCATATACGAGATATGAAAAGCCAGTGGGCACCGCAGGACTGGAGCCGCAGCCCAGTTGCATATCGAGGATCCCATTGACATTCGGCGAAATCTCAACTTCGCCGCTGGGCAAAACGCAACGGGATAAGCGACCGGTGCTAGGTGAGATGCTGAAAAAAAAGCACTTCCCGAATTAGATGTGGGGGAAATTGGGGATAACATGTCTTTTTCTTAGATAATTAGATAATATATGACAATGTTGCTAATCTGGGATAATGTGGGGGTCAATGTTTCTTAGAGCAGGCGTTAATTTTTCAAAAATCAGGTTTTCACATGGATCTTGCCCAATGACTTGATAATGCACAACAAGCAAGGCCTTGAGACTTTGGATTTTCTAGGAATTTTGGCTATAGCATGCTATGCCACAAGGCCACTTCCTAGTTGTTGAGTGAGCTAATCACTTCTCGTTGCCCTACTTAGATCTACTTAGTGCTCGAGGTTTCACAGTGGCCGTTGACCCCGGAGGCTATTTCGATGAGTGGTTTTCAGCATGCCAAGAGTTATGAGTGAAGGACAGGTTGGGGGAGACATATATTTTTGATAGCACAAAAAACAGTTTCCCGTAGATTTACCTATTTAGGGATGTGTGTAGTTGTTCCATGTTTGTCCCAGAAAAAACTGGTTGCCATTTTCTCGGCGATGGCAACTTGCCATGTCTAGCCACGAAGAATCCTAGGCCTTGAAGAAATATGCCATCAACGTGGCGCCTCAGCTGTCCCCTGCAGGGCAGCACCTGTCAGATGGGGGATGAGGGTGTAGATAGCTTGCTTGGGTTGATTATCATCGATACATCATGTATCTGTATATATATATAGATGCAGTAGATAGATAGATGTAGATGTAGATATGCATAGAAGAAACTGTTATAGATTGGGCTAATTAGCGTAAACTTGATTAGAATAATAGGTAAGTAGAGAAATGAATGGGACCTATGGAGAGCGCCACCCACATTCCTGGAGCCGTGGGACGCCCAGCGCTCAGAACACCATCCGCTTCGAGATTGACTCTGCACACCAACTGCTACGAGAGGTGCCATGGCAGTGGGGTTTTCATGGGATAATCATCCAACTAAGTGGTGAATTTTCCATTTCTGATGATAAAAGGCGTCCAATTGGATCGTTTCAGAATCCCAAGATTGGTGGATGCCAATGAAATTACAAGTAGAATATCATGAAATGACCATTACCCTCCCAATGTCAACAACTACTTTAATGTTAGACTACCATAATCAGCCAGTATCAACCATTGAACAACCGTTTTGTTCCACAGAATCAGAGATTCCATTACACATCCATTATCAACCATCAAATTACCATGGGGTTTCCATGAAATCACAATGTTAGTACCATACCATTACCATACAAAACATACCATAAACTTTTACCACAAGATTACCATTCAACTATGGTAATGGTATGGTAAGTAGAATTCATGGTATGGTAAGTAAACTTCATGGTATGTTTTATGGTATGGTTAGATACATTTACCATAAAACTTACCACAGAATCAGCATAAATTCACCTGCCGCCAGGGCCGAGGCCTTACGCTGCTGGGTATCCAGCTACCGCCGGGGCAGCCGGGCCGGCTGCCTTGGAGGCAGCGTGTTCAGGAAGGCTTCCTGGAACTTCCAGGTGACCCTTCAAAGAGCGTGACTCGCCATGGAAGGTGTTAGCCTCTGGCGAAGCTATAAATGGGACATGCTATATGTTATGCTTTGTTAAAACAACCAGAGGATCAGAGGAGAGGGTTTTCTCTTCTACTTGCGATCACTCTGTTGGTTGGTTTAGCATGTTCAATCATGTTCAAGTCAGAATAACCCAGAGGCCCAAGTGTTTTTTGCAGATGAATGATTATTGGTGAGCACGGTGGTGTGAACCTACTTCTTGACAATTAGCAGCCGTACCCCGTTTGAGAGTGGGCAATCCCAGCCATAGGGCTTACTACATACAGCGCCAGGCGCTTTTTGTTGATGCTCACGATACTGATCCATATTTGGGAAAATGTAACACTTCTGTAGGGCTCCCAATAAAACAATAAAGTCGTTTTTCCAGGATGTGATTGGTTACCTGTATTTGTTTCCCACCAGATTGTCCAACTGTCATGATTTTTCTATCTAGTTAGCGGGTTGCCATTCAAATGGAGGATCCCGGGATAGCTACAAAATACATCTACCAACTCGCTCCATCCAACTCCTAGCGGTCCTAGCCATGGACCCCATGGCGTTGTGGACCCGGGTGTCTCAGGTGTCCACGCGCTGCATCTACTGCAACACATCGATGCCATTGGCCAAGTTTTTGGACCATGGCAAGTGTCAAGTGCAACGCCTTCGCCGCTTGACCCACGAATGATGAATCTGGCTGGGTTGTGTCGACAGAAATGGATAGATGCACGGGCAACAGTCACCAAACTCCTTTGGTGGCTGTGGAGTTTAGTATGTATAGTCTTGGGAATGTGTCCATGTTGGGGTGCCATGTGTACCAGGGGGGTTAATTCGTGGAAGAGACAATTCGGTTGGATATGATATGGCGCAAGACTCGTGGTCGTGTCACCATTTCCATGATTGGATTCGATGTTCTCTCTTTACAGATTAGTCATTGAGAAGTGACAAAGATATACAAACTGGTTATTTTCCATGTCATATTTATGGGATCATTAATCCTTCCCATTGACTCATATATTTTCAAGATGGTTATTGCACCACCAAGCAGCAAAGATAACATCCCTTGTTTCCTGGTGGTGATGGATATCTCCGGAATGGTTCCATGCGGATCCCTCAGACCTTCGCTCCCCAGGCCCTGGAGAGGCGTGTTGCGAGATGTGTCTGAAATGCCATGGCCCCGGACGCGAAATCTGATGATCGAGCTACACATTTTTTAGCGTCTACCACATGACCGCGATTTTTCACCAGACACGAAAATACCATGTTTTCATCATTGTTCACTATTCACTATACCAATTACCCTCTGGTAAACTAACATAGCTGTTGAAAATCACCATTTTTGGTTGGTAAATCAACTATAAATGGCCATTTTCAATAGCTATGTTAAATTATCAGAGGGTACCACCTCATGTTTTACTATACCCATTTTCACTATAACTGCCAATTACCACCATTTTTTCAGGGATTTTCCAGCATTGACATAGCCTCAGCCACCGCCAGGTTTCCTGCGAGCTGCCGACCTCCAGCAGCACCAGGAGGCCACGGGGCACCAGGGCCTCGTGAGTCGCGATGAGGCGCTAGCGCTGGCGGCGGCGGCAGAGGAGGTGCCCAAGGGGACGCGAAGGAGGAGCGGGGACCGGCGGGGATGAGGGATGGGGGGTTGAAGCCAGTAATTGGGATTTGTATTGTGCTTATTACTTTGTCTATACGCATATGATATTATTATTGTCACTATTATTATTATCATTATTATTATGTTTATTAATATTAGTATTATTATTATTGTTTTATTTTGTGTGTAAATATATATATATATACATAAACATTTGATTATAATCCACAGCCATTGGAAGTGACAGTTTGTTCATGAGGAAGTGACAGTTGAGATGTGGACATGATGTATTATAAACATGCATGTAATTAATGTATGTAATTATAAAACATGTATGTAGTCATAAACATGATGTCACATTTCAGTGGCAATTAGGTAATACATCTCACATGACATCACACACTAATACATGAAAAATGAAACACATATGAACACATATATGTACACAACATGACATCAATAGAAATGTAACATACCATGAAACCACCAAACATCATAGTTATGGAGTCCTGGACCTTCCCTGGAAACCTCGGACATTAGGAAACTCTTGAACTAGCAAGCAGGTTGTGTACATATATATATATGTATGTATATATATATATAATTGTGGATTCTGGAAATCAAGGAGCTAAATTAAAAAGCAAGTAAGTCAGACTTGAATATTTTGGTGGGTTTTGCATTTGTTTTGCGAGATACCCAGGGTAAATGGTTAATGCCAAGATGATGGGGAAATACCTTACCCTCCCCAAGGGCCTCCTTACAATTTATGCTCATATTAAAAAACGATTTGCTATGCAAAAATCCTGGATTCCACGATTCACCCATTGCCATGTCAAGGACATGCATAATTGCATTAAAACCCCCCTTAGAAACCTCATACAGTGTATTAACAGGTTTATAGTCAAACAAATCCTGGTTTTGTTTTCGTAAACTACTTCCTGTAGCAATAGTCAAACAAATCCTGGTTTGGCAAAAAGTCTCAATGAAAACTATGTTTTTCTTTTAGGCAGTGTTCATTCTCCTGTGTCCTGCCCACCTTGCTTGCTCACAGGAGCCTGGATCTCAGCTTTTAAGTATCTAGTGCAAAAGTGGAAAAGGAATGATGCATTCAATTACGTTTTAACTCTCGTGCACTCACTTGCATTTGAAGTTCTTAATTTGCAGAATGGAGTAGTAACTGTTTGAATAACACATCCAGTCATTTCAAGAGGTTCCATCTGTACATTTTTTTTGAGGGAAGGGGAGTGGGCATTGTCATTGCTTGAGCACAGGAGCATCGTCCTCAGTTTTGTATTGTTCAGTTTTGTTTTTTTAATCTAATAACAATTTGTTCATTCACCAGAAGAGTGCATTCAACTGTGCATGAGATCACTATGAAGCTGTCAAGTGCTGGAATCAAGTTTTTGGTGTTGAAAAAAAACAAATTACAGAATGTGATCTGTAATGTTGCAAGAGAGTTTGAGGGGAGGGGATCACGTTTACTTGTGCACAGGAGTCTGGACCTCAGCTTTCAGTGCCCTAATAAAGTGGGTGAGTCCTGGAATCCAGGACTTTCTTCATGTGAAAGTGTTGTATGAAGACAAAGTTTTCCCATCCTTTCATAAAAACATTAAATATAAGTTATGTTGGGAAGAGCAAGGTTTTACTTCACCATTATGGCATTCCCCATTTATCCCATATAGCCACCATGTAATCTTGCTACAATCACCAAAAATGTACAAGAGTGCATTCAATCTTGACTTTTTTTTTGATTTCAGCTCCTTGAGTTTTGGTACAAAACCTGTTTGCTAATTCAAGAGTTTCCCAATGTCAGAGATTTCCAGGGAGAGTGGCAAAGAGTCTCAATGTTTTTTTTAAGACAGTGTTCCTTCTCAGGTGTCCTGGCTCAGAGGAGCCTGGATCTCAGTTTTACGTATCTACTGACAGTTCATTTACGTTCTAACTCTGCACTCACTTGCATTTGGATTTTTTGAGTTCTGGAATTCAGGACTAACAAGTCATTTCAATAGGTTCCTTCCCCAAGAGTTTTTTTAAAGAGAGGGGAGTGAGCAGAATCATTGCTTCAGCACAGGACCCCAACTGCAGCTTTGAGTGCCAAACTTAAAGTAAACTTGCTCAGCAAGAGTGCAATCAACTGTGCAGTAAATAACTAACTGGCATTTGAAGTTGTTGAGTTCTGGAATCATCTGGAATCCAAAAGTTCTTGTTTCTTTTAAATTTGGTTATCACAGCCTTTCTGCATATACCTGCATTTGTCCACATCCACAACTATCTTCATAATAGTACATGCATACCTTCCATGATGTATTTGTACCATATGTACACTTGCCAGGACCTATGTCCTCGGATCATATGTATACTTACCAGGACTTATGTCCTCGGATCATACATATACTTACCAGGACCCATGTCCTTGGATCATATGTATACTTGCCAGGACCTATGTCCTTGGATCATATGTCCTTCGGATCATATGTATACTTACCAGGACTTATGTCCTTGGATCATATGTATACTTACCAGGACCTATGTCCTTGGATCATATGTATACTTACCAGGACCTATGTCCTTGGATCATATGTATACTTACCAGGACCTATGTCCTTGGATCATATGTATACTTACCAGGACCTATGTCCTTGGATCATATGTATACTTACCAGGACCTATGTCCTTGGATCATATGTATTTTTACCAGGACCTATGTCCTTCGATCATATGTATACTTACCAGGACCTACGTCCTTGGAACATATGTATACTTACCAGGACTTATGTCCTTGGATCATATGTATACTTACCAGGACCTATGTCTTTGGATCATATGTAAACTTACCAGGGCTTATGTCCTTGGATCATACATATACTTACCAGGACCTAGGTCCTTGGAAAAAGCAACAGACAAACAATCACAAGACAGACTCATACACAGAGAAAAAAATAACAGGGATATGTACAGACAGGTAGAAACTGAAGTTTATAGATGCTGGAATGATGCTGGATACAGAAATAGGTGACTTGCAGATAGTTTACAATAGGAATATAGACTGATGATAACTAGATGATAAAGATACTATATATATATTGTATTTATATATGTACATATTAATGAATCATGTTCTCAAATAGGTCAATAGACTGATAGATAAAACAATAGATAGATCAACAAGTCAATAGAAAGATCAACTGATAAATAGCCAAATCTAGATGATCCAGAAATATAGAAAAAGATAGCAAATAGGTAGATTTGCAAGAGCCAAACGGACAAACACATATAAACAAACAAAAAAGACAACACATGCAGAGATGCAGTGCTATAATATATATATATATATAAAATTAATACTTATATTATCTTCACCAGGACTTATGCCCTGAGGAAATATGTATATACAATCACAGTGCTCATGTGCACACAGTCTTCACTAAGGATCACTAAGGATCACTAAGGATCACTAAGGATCACGGAGGATCTGATGCTTCAAACAGTAACTAGTCTGCCGAATAGGCAGTGTCCCGCACAGGGACTTTTTTTTCTCAACTGGTCCCTGCAACAGTCTTTGCGACAGTTCGGAGCCTCAGTGGGTGCCCAATCTCAGCACCTACATGAACCACATCATAAATCCCACCATATATATATGTGTATATATGTACATACATCTTTTATGAAATACCATTTCCAGAACATGGTTCGTCTTGGTTTTCATTTTGTTCTTGTTGGTCCTGGTTTCCAGGACCAGGTTGTTGTTGTTGGTCCTGGTTTCAAGGACATTGTTGTTCTTCTTGTTGTTGGTGGGTTTTGTTTTACAAGGTAGTCTCACTAAGACTACTGGTCCTGGTTTCCAGGACCAGGTTGTTGCTGTTGGTCCTGGTTTCCAGGACAGGTTGTTGTTGTTGTTGTTGTTGTTGGTCCTTGTTTGCAGGACATGGTTGTTAGTTAGTGTTGTTGGTGGTGGTCCTGTTTTACAGGATAGTCTCATCACTATTGGTTCTGGCTTCCAGGACATGGTTGTTGGTTTTCATTTTGTTCTTGTTGGTCCTGGTTTCTGGGACATTGTTGTTGTTGGTCCTGGACCAACTTGTTAGTTAGTGTTGTTGGTGGTGGTCCTATTTTACAGATAGTCTCATCACTATTGGTTCTGGTTTCCAGAACATGGTTGTTTGTTTTTATTTTGTTCTTGTTGGTCCTGGTTTCCAGGACATTGTTGTTGTTGTTGGTTGTTGGTTGTTGGTTGTTGGTTGTTGGTTGTTGGTTGTGGTTGCTGTTGCTGTTGTTCTTTCAAAACCAAACACGCATGAACACATATATCTACACAACATGACATCAATAGAAATGTAACATACCATGAAACCACCAAACATCATAGTTATGGAGTCCTGGATCTTCCCTGGAAACCTCTGACATTAGGAAACTCTTGAACTAGCAAGCAGGTTGTGTACATATATGTATGTATGTATGTATGTATGTACGTACGTACGTATGTATGTATGTATGTATGTATATCTAAATATATATATATTTATGTGGATTCTGGAAATCAAGGAGCTAAGTTTAAAACCAACTAAGTCAGACCTGAATATGTTGGTGGGTTTTGCGTTTGTTTTGTGAGATACCAAGGGTAAATGGTGAATGCCAAGATGATGGGGAAATACCTTACCCTCCCCAAGGACCTCCTCACAATTTATGCTCATATTAAAAAACGATTTGCTATGCAGAAATCCTGGATTCCACGATTCACCCATTGCCATGTCAAGGACATGCATAATTGCATTAAAAACCCCCTTAGAAACCTCATACAGTGTATTAACAGGTTTATAGTCAAACAAATCCTGGTTTTGTTTTCGTAAACTACTTCCTGTAGCAATAGTCAAACAAATCCTGGTTTGGCAAAGAGTCTCAATGAAAACTATGTTTTTCTTTTAGACAGTGTTCATTCTCCTGTGTCCTGCCCACCTTGCTTGCTCACAGGAGCCTGGATCTCAGTTTTTAAGTATCTAGTGCAAAATTGGAAAAGG